TATGTATGGGTTTGTTTCTAAATGTTTTAGTATTCTATTGAGCTATATTTTCTTGTGCTAACACCATCCTATGTTAACTTCTATAGTAATATATATATATGTATATTATTTATTTATTTATTTTTGGGTGATGGAGTCTCACTCAATCACTCAGGCTGGAGTGCAGTAGTGCGGTCTCAGCTCATTGCAACCTCTGCCTCCCGGGTTCAAGTGATTCTCCTGTCTCAGCCTCCTGAGTAGCTGGAATTACGGGCGCACACCACCACACCCAGCTAATTTTTATATGGAGTCTCACCATGTTGGCCAGGCTGGTCTTGAACTCCTGACCTTCGGTGATCTGCCTGCTTCAGCCTCCCTAAGTGCTGGGATTACAGGTATGAGCCACCATGCCTGGCTGTAATATCTTTAATGTCCTGTATAAATTCTGTAGTGTGGTTCATTTTCCTCACGATTGCCTTGGTCTAAACCTGTGTGTGTGTGTGTGTGTGTGTGTATTTTATTATCAACTCTTCAATACCCAAAAAAGAATTTGCTAAGAATTTTGGTTATGATTGCATTGACTAGATTGATTGTGGAAGAACGGACATGTCGTTGTTGTTTTTGTTTGTTTGTTTGTTTTTTAATCGTTTGATTGAGTGCCTCACTCTGTCACCCAGGCTGGGGTACAGTGGCCCGATCTTGGCTCACTGCAACCTCCACCTCCTGGGTTCAAGTGATTCTCCTGCCTCAACCACACCTGGCTAACTGGCTAATTTTTTTTTTTTTTTTTTAGTAGATGTGGGGTTTTGCTGAGGCTGGTCTTGAACTCCTGGCCTCAAGTGAGTATCTTGTGGAGAAATACTTTGAGACTATCCAGATGACTTGTTCCTGTTCTGTTGGCCTACTTTAGCATCCATCAGTGCTTGTCTGCAACAGTTTTTACTGTGGTTTTTGTCTAATGACATCTGTTTCACTATTTTGTTCAAGACCACCTTCAGCAAAACCCCATCTGTACTAAATTAGCCAGGTTTGGTGGCGCACACCTGTAATCCCAGCTACTCAGGAGGCTGAGGCAGGAGAATTGCTTGAACCCAGGAGGTGGAGGTTACAGTGAGCTGAGATCATGCCCCTGCACCCCAGCCTGGATGAAACAGTGAGACTTTGAATCAAACAACAACAAAAAAAGATAATATGTCTGTTCTTCCCCAATTAATCTGTGGTCAATGCAATCATAATCAAAATTCTTAGCAAATTATTTTGTGGTTATTGAAGAGGCGATTGTAAAATATAGAGAGACATAAACAAGGCTTAGACCGAGGCAATCTTGAGGAAAATGAACCACACTACAGAATTAATTAGGGATGAAATCATAGGGAGTCAGAACTGCCTTCTTGAGTTGAGTCACTTCCTAAGTGGGGGTCACAAGATTAGATGAGCCAGTTTATCGACCTGGGTGGTGCCAGCTGAATCCATCAAGTGCAGGGTCTGCAAAATATCTCAAGAAGTGATATGAGGAGCAGTTTAGGGAGGGCCAGAATCTTGTAGCCTCCAGCCACATGACTTTTAAACCATAATTTCTAATCGTGTGGCTAATGTTAGTCCTACAAAAGCAATATAATCCCCAGGCAAGAAGGAGGTCTGCTTTGGGAAATGGCTATGATTATCTTTGTTTTTAAAATTATAAACTAAGTTTCTCCCAAAGCTATTTCAGCCTATGCCCAGGAATGAACAAGGACAGGTTGGAGGTTAGAAGTAAGATCGAGTCAGTTAAGTTAGATATGTCTCACTGTCTCAGTCATAATTTTGCCGAGGCAGTTCCAGGTTTACAGTCAGGTTATAGCCAATTTTCCACCTGTAGTCTAGACGCCTGTGGTTACTAGAGTGTAGTTCTCTAGCCCAGGTAGAAAGCCTATTCCGTAAAATTTAATGCAGGGTCTGGTTATAGGTACTCTTGCTCTGTGAAAGTGTGGGTACCATAGAGTACTGAAGTACTCTGTGGGGTTACCATGTGGTCGTAGGGCTTTGTCCACTTTTGCAGCCATAAGAGATCTAGGGCAGGGCACCATCCGTTTTGAATCTCAACCCATTCAATTCTGCAAGTATCCCACCTAGAAGTCCCACAGTTTTCAGAGAACTATGCTTGTGATCGTTGTCTTGGGGCCAAATATGTAGGTCCCTTTTAATAACCCTTTCATTTATGATTGTTTTTTCCTACTTCTCTGATTTGGGAGATTTCTTTCTGGATTCTAGCAAATTAACTTCTTCAAGGACTTCTCTTTCACCTTCCAGTGCTACTTTTCTTCAGCTCTTTCAGGTTTTGTTGTCGGCCTTTTCTCATCTGTTCTGTGTCATCCAGAAGCGCCTAATGATTCTTGGCTTTCCAGGGATGTTGTAAATTTAATTTCATATTTTTTTTTTTTTTTTTTTTTT